CACCCCGCCCAGGCCGCGCCCGCGGGCGGGGGCGGGAGGCGGTCACTGCGCGCCCCCGGAGCCGGGCCCCAGCCCCCGCCCGGCCTAGCACGCCGCCGCGCCCGCACGGCGCCCGCCCCGTGCCTGGCCCAGCCCGCCCGGACTCCCGCCGCCCGTCGGCACCTCGCCGCTCCCTGCGGTCGAGCGCGGTCTCCGAGGGCCGCGGGAAGGAGGACGCGGGCAGGCGGCCGCGCCGGCGCTTCGCACGGTCCGGGAAGGGACAGCCGAGCACTTCCGCTCTGTCCTGTGCGGCACCGCCTCCGGAGCCTCCAAGATGGCCGCCGGGGCGGAGCCGAGAGCCTCCAACCATTTCCGCTTCCGGCGCGGGCGCCAAGGCCGTTGGCGGGCGGTCCCCTCGGCGGAAGGGACGTCAGCGGCGGAAACGCGCTGTGCTGCGCATGCGTATTTGCGTCCTGGGGGAGGGGGGGCTCCGGGCCTGCACAACTCCAGTCCAGAGATTGCTATCGCCCAGAGGCTGGCCCACGAGCCAATGGAAGAGAGCTTTGCTGGTTGCTAAGGAAACCCCAAGCGGCAAGATGGCAGCTGCCGGCCACGGCAGCCCGAGCTCCAGCCTGCCTCGCCGGGACCCACCGAGGCCGCCGCGGGACGGTAATGGCTGTAGGCCGGGACCGGGCCTCCGTGCGCGGCGGGAGGGAGACGCCAAGGTCCCAGCCGACAACCCCGGGGAAGCCCCGGTGTCCCGAGCCTGGGAGGGGGGCACCCCCGCGAGTGGGAGGGGTCGCGGGCCCGCAGCGGAGCCGGGAGGGTCCGGGCCTGGCCCTGGACGCGCGGTTCCGAGGCTGGCGGGAGCTGCTCGTAGATGAGAAGAGCCATCTTCAGGTAGTTCAGGTGGAGCCTGGGCCTCTTTACGGCAGGTGCAGGAGTCCAGGTTGCGCGGTGGAAACGGGGCTGGTGGGGAACTGGAGGGTTGCAGCTGCTGGCAGGACCCCTCAGGTGTAAATGTGGGCTTTGTCCCGAGGGGACCAGAGGACCCTGGTGCGTTCGTGCAGAGGAATGGCGGGGCTGGCCCCTTCCCCTCAACCCTGTATCTCACCTTCCCCCAGCAGCTGTCTCCCAGACCCTCCCCAGGCCGCAGCCTCTCAAGGACCCTGTGCACGCATCCTGCACACTCCCCTCAGGGCCCAGAGACCACCCCTCTCTAGTGTCTGTTGATTGTCAGCGGGGTCACCTGTGTCACCACGTGCTCACACCTCCATTTTCTTCCCAACAATCAGGTTATGGTGTCTACGTGTACCCGAATTCTTTCTTTCGATATGAAGGAGAATGGAAAGGAGGAAAGAAACATGGTAAGAAATATCTGTGGCCCACTCCCACGCTTGCCACCTTGCACCGACAGCCCATTTCCTGGGGTGTCTGGGCGGGCAGGTGGCTGCAGGAGCAGCAGCAGCGCTGGGCCCCACGCTCCCTGTCATGAGAGCCGAGGAAAGTCCCTGCAGGGCCCTGAGAGACCCCTCCGCCAACGCTCGCTGGCAGGCTCTGGGGCACCCTGGGCAGGGGAAGCCACAAGTGTAAAATCCTCCCCAGGGTTTTCATCTGTCTTGGCCAAAGTGAAAATTGCCTTCATGGTTTACTTTTGATGATCAAGAAAATTACCTAGTTTTGAAAACAAACAAAAACACCTCAGCACTAGAGAAGAGAAAGTGCCGAGTAAGAGGCGGGGGAGTCCTCTCCAGAGGTGGGCCCAGACTTTCCCGCATTTAAGCATTTATGTTCACGGGCATGTCTGTCTGGGGATTCTGCCTTCTCATATCCTCTGTCCGTTTTTCTCCTGGAGAACTGGTCTTTTGGAATTTTTTTATATGAGTTCTTTTTGTGTCTACTGGCTGTTAGCGTTTTCTATATTTTTAACTTTTTGACTTGTGTAATTGTCACACAAGACATTTTTTGCTTTTGTCTGAAATCTTTGCTTCTCTTCCTCGAGGCCGGGCAGGGAGGCTTGTGTCTAAGACCTCATGGTTCCCCCTTTTATTTTTTTTTAAGTTTTTTTTTTTTTTAATTTATTTAAGTAACTTCTACCCCAATGTGGGTCTCAAACTCACAACCCTGAGATCAAGAGTTACACACAGGGCACCTGGGTGGCTCAGTCTGTTGAGCATCTGACTTCGGTTC